CTCGGGGTCCCCGGGCGCGGCGAAGGCTGTCCGGAGCGCCCTCCGCTGTGTCCGCGCTGCGCTCGTCTGCAGAACCGAGGCCCGTTGGCAGTGGGGAATTAGAGGCATGGGGACTCTTCCCGGCCGGGCGCGAACCTCTGCAGTGTCACACTGGGACTGTTGCTCAGCGATCTGGCTGACGTGACCTCGGGTGATTTATAGAACGGTCTCTCCGGATTACAGTTAGGGGCCTGAGTGGCTTAGTGGTTATCCGTTGGATTGCGATCTGAAAGGTCAGCAGTTCAGAACCGCCAGCCGCTTCGCGGGAGAAAGGTGGGGCTTTCTACTCCCTGAAAGCTACTCAGAGACAGAAGCTCACTGTCATTGAGTCAGTGCTGACTCACAGCGGCTGTTACAGCCTAACGTGCAACCACGACACCACCAGGCTCAGGCATCTACCCTGCCCTGTGGGGTCGCTGAGTCAGTATGTCCTCCATGATGGTCTTTTATTAAGTTGGGGTTTAGGGAGAGGATGCTTGGTACACCAATAAGCAAACTTGCCAATATATACTTGGATAAAAACAAGTTTGTGTGGAATGTTCTTTTCCACCCATAACTTGCATGGGGAGTGTGGTTTGGGAAAGAGATGACCAGGGTCAAGTACTCCAGCCCTTGTGCCCACACTCAGGACTTTGGGAGCATCAGTCCATCAAACCCAAGGTCAAGGTTTGGGGCCCTGTAAGCCCGTGCTGGAAGGTTTGAAGGTCACATTTGAGCCTGCTCTACAGGGGTATGATGTGAGCTGACACAGACTGTTTCATGTGAGAGGGCAGCAAAGGCTCATTTCTGTGAGGCTCGCTCTTGGAGCTTCACTTCATAGTGAAATTGGGATTGGGCCGGAAGTGATCATTAGGCTCATCCTCAGACAGTTTGTCTGTGGCCACAACTTATGAAAGGTGCCGACTGGGAACAATGTTGAAAACATGTTTTTCTTCTGTAAGATTGAATAAAATGTGTTTCTCAGAAATTATCTTCACCCTGTCTGAAATTCACAGAAAGTGGGAAAAACATTTCCAAGTCTACCCTGAGTTTGTGTCCCAGCTTTGCCACCTTAAAGGCTGTGGAAAGTGAGGTAGAGTATTTTTCTAAAATCAGAGGGTGATAACCCACTCTCCTTGCAGTTAATCAAGATTAAGTGATATCATTGGTACAGATAAGAGCTCTCGACATGGGATTCAGGAAAGATAAACCCCTCAGGAACAGTAATGGGGGTAGTGATATCATGAGGTAGGGAATGGTCAGGGAGGCGGAAGGGTGAGAAAATGTGACCCCATCACAAGATTGGATATATAGCCACCACCCCTAGAGAAGGGGATGAATAAGGGAAATGTGGGTGAAGAGACGACAGTGTAAGATATGAAATAATATATAATTGATCAAGGATACAGGAGGGTGGGAGGAGGGAGTGGGGGGGAAAGAGGAGCTTATATCAAGGGCTCAAAGCAGAAAATGTATTGGAAATGATGACAACATATGTACAAATATGCTTAATACACTTGATGTATGGAATGTCATAAGAGCTGTAAAAGCCCCCAATAAAATGATGGGGGGGAAAAAGATTAAGTGATATAAGGTGGATTAAAAAGCCTTAGACAACTCTATAATTTTTTTTAAAGAGTTTCTGCAGAGTACAGCCCAAACAATGATAATTTTTATCATTTAAAAACCAATCCTAGGGTGGGGGTGGGGAATGAGAAGCTGATACCAAGGGCTCAAGTAGAAAGAAGATGTTTCGAAAATGATGGCAATAAATGTACAAATGTGCTTGACATGATGGATGTATGGATTGTGATGAGAGTTGTATGAGTCCACAATAAAATGATTTTAAAGTAAATAATTAAAAACCAATCCTTTGGATTCCAGGGTCTTCCTTAAGCTGGGATTAAAAAAAGGTCTACTCCTTCAGTCATTGTAGAGGAGTGCTCTGAAATCCTGGCTCCACCCCTCAGTGTGAAAACCTCAGTCAGCTGCTTCACCTCTCCGGAACTTGGTTCTCTCATTTGTCAAGGGGAAGGACTTACTGTTCCGGTATGTAAATGAAGTTAGAGATAAAATGTTACAACATTGTTTCCGTTGTCTTGCTGTGTCAGAAAAGACCTTTGATTGTACTCTTGACTCTCCTGGGGCCGTTCAAATGCTGGAGGCTAGAATTGTGCTTACAGACGTTGGCTGGAAGATGGAGCCACAAGTGGCACTGGATGGAACGTACATGTGGTCTCTGCTTGTGACCGGAAGATCCACACTAACTGGTGACTGGATTCAAAGGGCAGTGTCCAGAGATAAGATACCAAGTTCCCGTGGTACCTTTTCTGACTGACCCTTGAAGGTCAGTTAGTGTCAGCTCTGCCACATTTGCATTCCATTGATGCAATTCACTAAGATTGGCCTGTATTGGAAAAGTCAAACCCACTGCCAGCAGTTGATTCTAACTCAGTTACCCCTGTGACATCGCAGTTAACAGCAAAATGCCTATCCCAGAGCGCCAGCGGGCTCTTGTATTCAAGGGACGTGGAACTGAACTCATAGAATCTGTGCACTTGTTTAAAATTGCCACAAATCATGAATGAAATCAGTGGTCAAGGCATCACAGATAAAATTCTGACCTGGTTGAAGGTAATTTCTTGAGCACTAGGGCATCTATCCAAAGGAGCCCTGATAGCACAGTGGGTTACATGTTGGTCTGCCAACCACAAGGGTTTCAGTTCAAAACCACCAGCCACTCATCGGGAGAAAGAAGCTTTTTACTCCCATAAAAACGTAGTTAAAACCCCCCACCTTACAGTCTTAGAAGTCCACAGGGGCCGTCCTACCTTGTCCTATAGGGTCTCTATGAGTCGACATCAACTGGATGGCAGTGAATAGTAGTAGTAGTAGGGCTCTATTAGCCAGGAGCCACGGTAATGCAGGAACAGCAGTTCTAACCCACAAGGCGCTCCAGGGGACAATTCTAGCTTCCAGCATTTGAACAGCAGTTCTAACCCACAAGGCGCTCCAGGGGACAATTCTAGCTTCCAGCATTTGAACAGCCCCAGGGGAAGAAGAGTAGGCTTTCGGGTCCAGTAAAGATTTATAGCCTCAAACCTAACACAATGTGATCCGTGCATAACCACACCCCCACATCCCCTCTAGGGAGACGAACAACAGAAACTGTGGGTGAAGGGAGACAGTGGTTGGTGTAAGATATGAAAATAATAATTTACAATTGTGATCAAGGGGTCACCAGGTGGTGGTGGTAGGGGGACTGATACCAAGGACTCAACAGAAAGAAATGTCTAGAAAAGAATGATGCCAACACATGTACAAATACGCTTGATACAATTGATGTATGGATTGTTGTAAGAGCCCCCAATAAAATGATCTTAAAAAAAAAAAAAGTTTACAGCCTCAGAAACCTAAAGGGATAATTCTATCCTGTCCTATAGCATTGCTATCAGTAAGCACAGATTCTTTGGCCTGGAGTTTGGTTTAGGAGAGCCCTGTTTCCTGGTGGTGATATGGTTATAGCACTCACCTATAAACTGAAAGATTGGCAGTTCTAACTCACCAGGGGAGAAAGGTGTCCCTGTAAAGCTTGACAGCTTTGGAAACCCTGTGGGGCAGCTTTCCTGTGTCCTATAGAGTCACTGTGCATT